ACGGGAAGGTAAGCTTTACGGTCCCATCCCCCCACCACCCCCGTAAGTATAGCAACTATTTTTTTTGCCTGCTTATGTGATAATATATATTATGATTCTATGGATTTTAATGATTTAATAACTTCTAGTTTTACATTATTACATTGCGGAAAAGTGCCCAAGGACAAATTTAAGGATTCACATCTTCTAGAGATGCTTGTTTTAAGCAACAAGGAAAAATCTAATTGTCTAAACATACCTCCCGTCCCCCCCAATCATCCGTATGTAGATTTTTTGTCTGTTTATGTGAGAATATAATTATTTGAAAAGGAAAGAGAAAAACCCCATAAAGGATTGCTGTAATTCTGAAATTTTAGGGAATTTTATGACTTAATAAATTCTAATTTTGATAGTAATAATATATTTACTTTTTAAAAATTTTGTCTTTGTAAAGAGGAAGGAATGGTAAAGGCGCAGCCCACGTGTGTTAGTTCCTACCCAGCCCTTATCGGTTAATGGCCTAATAATTACAATTTATAGTTTGATTTTTTATCTACAGTACATTACTGCACTTAAAAACAAAGCAAAAAAAAAAAAAAAACAACTGACAACAACAGGAAAATATATGAAGACACTTTAAGATGGAAAACAAGGATAAAGCTAAATATCCAAAAATTCACAATTGAATCAAATTCCTGACATTATATGGATATTTCTGTAATTCTGTAAAGAAAATTTGGAATTTGTAACTTTGCAGACAAGTGCCGAAGGACAAATAAGAATCCAAGGTTTCACATCTAGAGATGCGTGCTTTACTTATGACATAATTGTAGTCAGACAGTTTTAAGCAACAAGGAAAAAGCTAATTGTTTAAACATACCCTCCCTCCATCCGTAGGTAGAGCACCTTTTTTTTGTCTGCTTATGTGAGAATATAATTATTTGAAAAGGAAAGAGAAAAAACCCATAAAGGATTGCTGTAATTCTGAAATTTTAGGGAATTTTATGACTTAATAAATTCTAATTTTGATAGTGAAGACACTTTAAGATGGAAAACAAGGATAAAGCTAAATATCTAAAAATTCACAATGGAATCAAATTCCTGACATTATATGGATATTTCTCTAATTGAAAGAAATTTTGGAAAACCCAAACCTCTATCATTAAATGTGATCTTGGAAAAGAACAGCAATGATGAAAAAGGCTAAAAGAATGAAAATACCTCCCCTTCAGCATTTCAGTGTTGAAGTGACTATGATGTACATCTCTGTGGGTGCGCATGTGCCTTTTCCTTGCTCAGTATGGAAAAAAATAATGGTGGTTTCCTAGCTACAGCCATATTCTTCAGGTGAATGGCTGCCAATCAAACCTGAAGAGCTCATAGCCTGCAGACCACATAAAGAGCTTGTATAGACAAACACGCACAGAGACATGCATTTTGGGATTACACTATGGCTATCAGTCATATTATAGTAAGTTTTATATAAGTTTTAAGCAACAAGGAAAAAGCTAATTGTCTAAACAACCCCCTCCCCCCC